ATTGCCCAACCTTCCTTCCGAGCCAGGGCCATAAGGCAAGAAAAGGAAATCAAAGGCATCCAAATTGGTAAGGAAGAAGTCAAACTATCCCTATTTGCTGGTGATATGATCCTCTACCTAGAAAACCCAAGAGACTCAGTCAAAAAGCTACTGGAACTAATTGAGAGACTAAGCATCGTGGCAGGATACAAGATCAAATCCACAAATCAGTTGGATTCCTCTACACCAGCAAAGACATTACTTAAAAAGAAGTAAGGGAATCAATACCACTTACAATACCAAACCAAACCAAACTCACTGTCGTTGAGTCAGATCCAACTCATAGCGACCCCTCCTTCGGTTTCTGAGGCAGTATGATTATGGAAGTAGATTACCCAACCTTCCTTCCGAGGAGTGGCTGGTGGGTTTGAACTGCCAGCCTTCTGGTTAGCAGTTACATGCCTTAGGCATTACCATTTACAATAGCTACTAAAAATATAAAATACTTGAGAATAAATCTTACCAGGCACACAAAAGAACTGTACAATGAAAATTATAAAAAACTACTTCAAGAAACCATAAGAGATCTACATATATGGAAGAACATCCCATGCTCGTGGATAGGAAGATTGAACATTTTGAAAATGTCAGTTCTACCCAAAGCAATCTATACATTCAATGCAATCCCAATCCAGATCCCATCAACATTTTTTAAAGATACGGAAAACCCAATCACTAAATTTATATGGAAAGGAAAGAGACTTTGGATAAGCAAAGCACTATTGAAGAAGAAGATCAAAGTAGGAGGTCTCACACTGCCGGATATCAAAGCCTACTATACAGTCACAGTAGTCAAACTGCCTGGTATTACTGTAATGACAGACACACAGACCAATGGAATAGAATTGAGAACCCAAAAATAGATCCATCAACCTATGGCCAGCTGGTCTTTGACAAAGGGCGGAAATCCATTAAATGGGGAAGAGAATGTTTGTTTAATAAATGGTGCTGGCAAAACTGGATATCCATTTGCAGAAAAATGAAATTAGATCTGTACCTCACACCATACACAAAAACTAACTCCAGATGGACCAAAGACTTAAATGTGAAACCTAAAACTACAGAGTTCCTCAAGGAAAACTAGGGGCAAATTTAGGGGCCCTAATATATATCATACACAGACTATCAAGCGTAACCCAAAATGCACAAAGAACAGAAGTAAATGGGACCTTCTAAAAGTTAAATTTGTGTGTACTTCCAAAGATTTTTCCAAAATAGTCAGAAGAGAACCTATGGATTAAGAAAAAATACTTGGCAGTGACATATCTGACAAGGGACTTATCTCTAGAATTTATAGAAAATTCTAACACCTCAATAACAAAATGACAAATAATCCAATTAAAAAGTGGACAGACGACATGAGTAGACCCTTCACCAAGGAGGATATTCAGGTGGCCCACAAACATATGAAGAAATGCTCATCATTAGCCATTAGAGAAATGCAAATCAAAACAACAATGAGATACCATCTTGCTCCAGCCCTAGTAGCAAAGTTCAACAAGACAGAAAATAACAAATGTTAGCGAGGATGTGGAAGAGATTGGGACTCTGATACGCTGCTGGTAGGATTGTAAAATGATACAATCATTGTGGAAAGCAGTATGGCGATTCCTTCAAAAGTTGGAATTAGAAATACCATTCGACCTAGCCATTCTGTTACTAGGTATATATCCTAAAGAAGTGAGAACTATGACAAGAACAAACATGCACACCCATGTTCATCACAGCACTATTTACAATAGCCAAAAGATGGAAACAATCTGGGTGTCCATCAGCTAAGGAATGGATAACCAAACTGGTACATACACAGAATGGAATACCATGCAACCCTGAAGAATAACATTTTTTTTGTTGTTGTTATGTGCCATTGAGTCAGACCCAACTCATGGCGACCCCTTCTTGGGTTTCCGAGGCAGTATCACTATGGAAGTAGATTGCCCATCTTCCTGCCGAGGAGTGGCTGGTGGGTTTGAACCACCAGACTTCTGGTTAGCAGTCAAGTGTCTTAGGCACTACGCTACCAGAGCATAGCATCTGCAAAACACCTTGTAACATGGATGAACTTGGAAGACATTATGCTGAGTGAAATAAGTCAATCACAGAAGGACAAATGTTGTTTTAGCCTGTTATTGTAAAAGTCAAGGAAAGTTCATCTACCAAAAAATAAATATTTACAGCCTTGGAAACCCTATAGGGCAATTCTGATCTGTCTTACAGGGTCACTGTGAGTAGAAATCAACTCGATGGCAGTAGGCTTTGGTTTTGTTAGGTATTAGCATATTATAGAACAAATAAACAGGTAGCAAACAACTGTCAATTGAACAGAACTTTAAAATTGTTTTGATGTTGAGACTCGTATATACTGTGTATATATGTCTGTATACATATATAACATATGTCATAAATATAATATGTAGTTATATTTTTATTTTAAGAAAATAATTACTTTAGATTTCATATTAATATTTTATCCTGGTACATGTACTGGTTCTTATAATGTTAGTGTTTTACTAGAAAAATTGGAAAGATATGAAAAGAGCTTTATATTTTTCTGAGTCCTTACAAAGCTCCGTTGTAAGCATCTTAGGATATTAAAAACATTTTGTTAACTAATCATTTTTTTTATGATTTTTTTTGTGTTCCTCATCTTTTTATTCAATAGGAATGGGATACGTTTACAGGTGTGGTTGTTGGAGATATGTTACGGAAAGTTGTAAGTTTACAATAACAAAATCTTATTATTTTACTCTTAGAGAAAATAGTTCTGGCTTTGGGATAATAAAATATAATTTGCTTCGTATGAGTTTTAAATTATTGCTGATCCTATACTTTGATTAGAGGAATATGTCTTTGGAATATATCCTTCATTGCTACTTCAAAATAGACCTAAGTTTATGTTTTTGTCCTTTAAGATTTATATTCTGTTGATTAAATACTAAGAAGTGAATGTAGATTTTTAAAAACTTTTTCCCTCAGTTTGTATATTTTATTCCAAGAGTATTTTTATAATTGTGTTATATTTAGCAAAATTTTCTTATGTAACTAAGATTTTAAAAATTGGGTTTTGAAACTTTTTATAACCATTTCAAATTTAGTTTTTTCTCTTGTAATTTTCTATTTCAACGTCGGATGGATAATATTCCTCAATGCAGTATACCCAAACTGTACTATAGAACCTAGATCATATGTGAAATGTAATATATAATTAAAAACAATATACTTTTAAGCTAGTTCTTATGACATTTAAATTTTTCTGAAATTTCATGAAAGAGTAATCACAACAAAAATGAATGCAACATTTGTCTAAATGGAGTTATCTGTACCTTATGTTACTTAGAATTATATTAACTTGTAAAATAAATAATAAATAGAATGAACATTTTTTCAATGCAATTTTCATAAAAATAGCTAGTTAATTATTGTTTTTTGAAAGTCTGAATTTTATCAAATATGCCAAAGAAAATAACATATTTTATTAAAGGATTCTCAACAAAGAATACGTGATCAACTTCCATCTTGGATAGATCAGGAAAGAAGCTGGGCAGTGGCAACATTAAAGGTATTCCTTTTGCACAGGAATATATATATATATATATATATATATATATATATATATATATATATATATATATATATATATAATGGCTTGATATGTAATATTTGTATTAATATATAATATTAGTATATATTAATATAGAATATTTTCCATATAAATATATATATATAAAATATCAAACCATTTCTTTTGAATTATGATATGCTAGGAGTCGTCGTGGTGTAGTGGTTAAAACGTTTAGCTGCTAACCAAAAGGTCAGTGGTTTGAACCCACCAGCTGCTCAGCTGCTCCTCAGAAGGAAGATGAGGCAGTCTGTTTCTATAAAGATTTATAGCCTTGGAAATCCTATGGGGAAGTTTGACTCTATCCTGTAGGGTTGCCATGAGTCAGAGTAGACTCGATGGCAATGGGGTCGGGTAGTATATTATACTTGTTCACATTCAGTTTTGATATTTCTGTGAATATGACATACAATTCCTGAGTAAAAGATTATCAAAATTAATAATAGAGTGATGAAAATGTGCCATTCTCTGAGGAGTTAATACTTTATTTGGGATAGAATGAGTATGTTGGGGAAAACCTCTGAGATGATATTATTTAAGATGAATATTGAACAATGAATAGAAATATGTCAGGTACCAAGTATAATTAGAACGTTCAGAGCCAAATGTTCAAGTTCTAGGGGAATAAATGAACATGGCTTAGAAAAACATGCTTTCTTATGGATTTGAATCTGAAAGTTGCCACATGTTTACAGTCTAACATGGAACTCAAACTTGCAATAATGCTTAAAACTTGTAGTTAGTTTTAATAATATCATGCCTTTTCTCCACAAGGTGGAGATAGTTAAGTACGAATGTTTTTATGCAGAGAAAAGATTTGTTAACTATAAGTACTGGTTTAGTACTGCTCTGAAAATGTTTCTTTTTATTTAATTTTGCCTTCAACCTTGGATAGTCTACCACATTATTTTTGACCTAGATGATTATATAAACCAACACAAATATAAAACAAATAATGAACATTTATCAATACTTGATTTTCATTTACTTTTTTGAATTTTTCTTAAAATGTGTTACCTTTTTCACTGCTGTGTATGTGGTTGTTTTTATTTTTCAGATTGCTCTCCCCAGTCTTTATCAGACACTCTGCTTTGAAGATACAGCTTTGTGGCGTACTTATTATCATAATTCAGTGTGTGAACAAGAGTTTCCATCTATTCTTGCAAAAAAAGTTTCCTTATTTCAGCAGGTAAAAGAGTTATTTAATGCAAAAATTATTAAATGTTTCTCTTGCCTTTCAGAAGTCATTTAAATAAAAGCTTTCCTTTTCAGAGGTTATATAGCCATTAATGTGACATAGAGAGAGAAAGACTTTCCGCTTTTGCCATCTTATCCATATAATGAAATTATTGGCAAATTTTCTAGTGAAAGTGTCTCCATTTTATCTTTTGTCACTTCCTCTGCTTTAACTCAAGGGTGATTTACTATAGAAAAAATGTCTTTCAGAAAGAAATTAATGTATAGATTGTACAGGTTTTTCACTATCTCCCAGGGTTTGATCTAAGGTAAAGACTAACTGGGGAGGAACAAGGGATTTGTTCCCATTTCATTTCCAAATAGAATGAAGAATTCACCATTGGGTTCCACTATATTTTCTGACTAGCCAAAAAGCTTATTGTGGGAAAACTCCACAGGTTTTGACACTCTAGGAAATGACTGTATCTCTTCACTAAACTACTGCCTGTGGTTTCTGTTCCCTTTGTGTCTCCATATACATGAATTTTATTCCACCAAGTGTGTTAAACTTAACAACAGCCACCAAGAAACTCATAATATGAAAGCCTAAGCATCTTGGAGTATTCTTGTTGTACATGATACAGCATAAAAATAGTAATTTTAAACTTTCAGAAAGGTTTTCCAGACCTCTGTTCTGCTGTCACCAGAAATGCCTTCCCTACTTACTTCTATTTTCATCTGCCATTTGGCTCTTCCATAGATCCTGTAGACATGATCCTATGACCATTGCATGTTGTTTTCTTTTGATATTAGGTTTGATGAAGTATATACCTATTTGACAGTTTTTTGAAGCATAGTTAATACAGTGGCACAATGATGTTTTCAAAGATTTTAATAAATATTTATTTACTTAAATTGATTGGCATTAATTATTTGTTTAGTTAAAGCTTTTTTGGAAACTTTATTGTTTAAAAATAACCTGTGCTTTATTTTAAGGTTCTTGTGGTACAGGCTCTCAGACCAGACAGATTGCAAAGTGCCATGGCTCTATTTGCATGTAAAACTCTGGGTAAGTGTAATACTTTTCTGGAATTCTGTTACTGACTTGAAATATTTGGTTTTTATTGGCATTTTATTTTATGTTGACTTGTGTGTAGCAAGATTATAAGATTTTCTTTTAATTTCATTCTACTTATCTTGCATTCTCTACTTGGTTTTCAACACAGTTCTCTGTGTTGGGTACGACCGTGGTTAATATTGTATTCAATGTGATGCATAAGTCACATTCTACATTTAGTTAAGATATATGAGGTTTTAAAAAATATGTCCTTATGAAAGCACTTTAGACATTTGTCTATGGTTAGAATTTCAAAGCAGAGAATCAAGTGTTTGTTCCAAAACTTTATTGCCTAGTCCTATTTGTAGTCATAGTTTTAGGATTATGCCATAACTTTAGGAAGTTACTCCTTCAAAAAGAGTTATCTTTTTCTAAAACACAAAATGAAGAATTGTTGTATCTTTTAGATCATAAACAAGGTACACAATACATTTTTGTTAAGTCTTTTAGATAGTCTTATCTGAATAGTTAAAGTTATGCACTCATATGAGAATAATAAGCCATACCATTATTATTTTTGTACAAGTGAAGTTTGGAAAAACTAGTTCAAGAAAGACTGAAAAGTATTTTTCTTGAAGCAAAGAGTCATCCAAAGATAATGGATCTTCGCTGTTTCTGAATCTAGAGGTTTTTAGAATTATGTTTTAATAAAAAAATCTAGCACAATTAAATAGTGTGCTGGCAATTTTTTTGTGGAAGTTCTCCATTTCTGTCCCATTTTTCCGTGTGTGTGTGTGTGTATTCCATATTTGTGTATATATATAAAATTTAATTTAGAAACTTTCTTATTTATTGTCATTTTGACTAACAACATATGCATGTTTTCTCAAAATTAGAATTTGTGATATAAACCAGCTAGCAGAGAGTTTTATAAAATTGCAGAAAATACTAATCCTTCTGTGTTTATCATTGAAAACCTTTGTAGTCCTGAATAATCATGGTATTGTTAGTATGCAAAGCTATTATATTTGAGTGTATGAGAGTACTATAGTGAGAACTCTTGCTTCAGATGTGTCTGTATAGGATTTGGTAGTTTGTGAGGTACAGCGGAATAGAAGAAGCACAAATGAATTGTTTTTGAATACAGTTAGTAATTAACAGCTGGGTGATCTTTGATGAGACTTTTCATCTTTGATTCTTAGTTCTCTTATTCACCTAATGATATTTGTTTCTCAGCATTGCTGTATAGGTTAGTTCTGGTCTCCTATGAGTTTTATCCCTTCTTCACATTTGAGAAAACTGAGGGACAGTGCAGGGTCACTGAGCTAACAAATATAAGCTAACTGTATATTTCTCTCTCTAATTCATGCATTCTTTTCACTTTTTATACCACTTGTTTCTTCCTTAATGCATTAGCATAACAAATAACTATTATGACATAAGAAATAAATCTTTATTGTTGCTAGGTGACATCTAATTGGCTTCAACTCATAGTGACCCTGTGCACAGCAGGACAAGACGCTGACAGATCCTGCACCATCCTCACAGTCCTTGCTGTGCTTGACCTCATCGTGGCAGCCACTGTTATCAACCCATCTCCTTGAGGGTCTTCTCTCTTTTCTCTGACTTCCACTTTACCAAGCATGATATCCCTTCTCCAGGGTCTGGTCCCTTCTGAAAATATGACCAAAGTAGGTGAGACGAAGTCTGGCTATTCTTGCTTCTGAGGAGCATTCTGGCTGTACTTCCAAAACAGATTTGTTCATCCTTCTAGCAGTCCATTGTATTTTCAGTATTCTTCACCAACACCACAACTTAAAAGTATCAACTCTTCTTTGGTTTTCCTTAGTCATTGTCCAGCTTTTCACATGCATATAAATACCATGAGTGAAAATACCATGGCTTGGTTCAGGTGCATTTTAGTCTTTAAAGTGACATCTTGGCTCCTTAACTCTTTAAAGAAGTCTTTTGCAGAAGATTTCTCCAGTAAGTTATGACATCTGATTTCTTGACTCTTGTTTCCAAGTGTGTTGATTGTGGATCCAAGTAAAGTGAAATCACTGACAACTTCAGTCTCCACTGTTTATGAATGAAAAGCTGCATAGTTGGGTTTAATATTCTCTAATAGGGGGGAAATTGTATATTGAGACCACAGTGCTGGCTCTGTGTTTCTTCATCTGTTAAAAGTGGTTATCAGCGTACTCATCTGATTGTGGTTATTAGATACCATTGAGTTGGATCTGACTCATAGTGACCCTATGTACAACAGAAGAAAACACTGCCCCATCCTGCACCATCCACACAATTGTTGCTGATTTTGAGCCCATTGTTGCAGCCACTGTGTCAGTTCATCTTGTTGGGTCTTCCTCTTTCACTGACCCTCTACTTTACCAAGTATGATGTCTTTCTCCAGGGACTGTTCTCCTCCTTGATAATTTGTCCAAAGTATGTGACACAAAATCCGGCCATCCTTGTTTCTAAGGAGTATTCTGGCTATATTCTTCTAAGACAGGTTTATTGGTTCTTCCGGCAGTCCATGGTATATTCAGTATTTTTGTCAACATCATAATTAGAATGCATCAGTTCTTCTGTGGTTTTCCTTATTCATTGTCCAGTTTTCATATGCATATGAGGCTATTGGAAAGACCATGGCTTGGGTCAGGCGCACTTTCTTCTTCAAAGTGACACCTTTGCTCTTTAACACTTTAAAGCTTTTTTGCAGCATATTTGCCCACTGCAGTATGTCATTTGAATTCTTGACTGCTTCCATGTGCATTGTTTGTGGATCCAAGTAAAGTGAAATCCTTAACAAGGATTTCATTTTTCCAGTCTTTTCTCCATTTATCATGATGTTGCTTATTGGTCCAGTTGTGAGGATATTTGTTTTCTTTTTCTTGAGGTGTAATTCGTACTGAAGGCTATAGTCTTTGATCTTCCTCAGTAAGTGCTTCAAAACTTCTTCACTTTCAGCAAGCAAGGTTGTATCATCTGCATATTGCAGGCTGTAAATGAATCTTGCTCTGATCTTGATGCCATGTTCTTCATATAGTTTTGCTTCTTGGATTATTTGCTCTATGTAGATTTAATAAATATAATGAAAGAATACAACCCTGGCATACAATTTATCTGATGTTTAAACTATGAAGTATCGCCTTCTTCTTTCTGAATGACTGCCTCTTGTTCTATTTACAGGCTCCTCATGAGCTTGTTCTAGAATTGCCATTCTTTTCAATCCTATCCATAATTTGTTATGATCCACACAGACAAATGCTTTTGCATAGTCCATACAACACAGGTAAACATCTTTCTAGTATTCTCTGCTTTCAGACAAGATCCATCTCCCATCAGATCATCTGACATAATATCCCTTGTTCCACATTTGTAGCAGTTCCCCATCAATGTACTGCTGCAACCATTTGAAAATTATTTTCAGTAAAATTTTACTTGCATGTGATATTAATGATATTGCCAGATAATTTTTGCATTCTGTTGGATCACCTTTCTTTGGAATGGGCACAAATATGGATCTCCTCCAGTCAATTGTCCATGTAGCTATCTTCCAAATTTCTTGTCATAAATGAGTTAGCATTTCAAGTATTGCATCTATTTATTGAAACATCTCAGTGGGTATTCCATCAGTTCCTGGAGCTTTGTTCTTTTGCCAGTTCCTTCAGTGCTACTTGGACTTCATCCTTCAATACCATCTTTTCTTGACCATATGGTACCTTTTGATATGGTTGAAAGTTGACCAATTTTTTTTTGCACAATGACTATATTCCTTCTATCTTCTTTTGATACTTTCTGTAGTATTCAGTATTTTGCCTGTATTTTGCTTCAGTATTGAAACCTGAGGGTTAAATGTTTTCTTCAGTTCTTTGAGATCAGGAAATGCTGAATGTGTTCTTCTTTTTTAATTTTCTAAATCCAAGCCTTTGCCATAACATTATAATACTTTGTCTCCTCAAGCTGGCCTGTGAAATCTTTTCAGCTCTTTTACTTCATCATTTCTTCCATTTGCTTTAGCTGCTCTCTGTTCAAGAGCAAGTTTCAGAGTCCCCTCTGACATCTGTTTTGATCTTTTCTTCTTTTCCTGTCTTTCTAATGAACTTTTGCTTTCCTCATGTATGAAGTTCTTGATGTCATCCAATAACTCATCTGCTTTATAGTCATTGGTGTGTCAAATCTGTTCTTCAAATGGTCTCTAAATTCAGGTGGGATATAATCAAGGTCATATTTTGGCTCTCATGGACTTGTTTCAATTTTCTTCAGTTTCAGGTTAAACTTGCATATGAACAATTGATGGGCTGATCCATAGTCAGCCTTGTTTTGAGCTTCTCCATCAGTTGTCTCTTTCCACAGATGTAGTTGATTTGATTCCTGTGTATTCCATCTGGCATGGTCCGTATGTGTAGTCACCATTTATGCTGTTGAGAAAAGATATATGCAGTTACATAGGTGTTCTTGCCAAATTCTATCATGTCATCTCTGGTGTCATTTGTATCATAAAGGCCGTATTTTCCAGTACTGATGCTTCTTCTGTGTTTCCACCTTTCCATTCCAATCACCAGTAATTATTAATGCATCTTGATTGCATGTTTGGTCAATTTCAGACTGTAGAAATTGGTAAAAGTCTTTAATTTCGTCATCTTTGGCTTTAGTAGTTGGTGCATAAACTTAAATAATAGTCATATTAACTGGTCTTTTTTGTAGGCATATGGATATTATCCTATCTGTGACTTCATTGTACTTCAGGATAGAGCTTGAAGGTTTTTTTTTTTTTTTGGACAAAAAATTTAATGCTATTCCTGTTCAATTCTATTAATGTCATTCCTGGCATAATAAACCATATAAATGTCTGATTCAAAATGGCTAATACCAGTCCATTTTAGCTCACTAATCCCTAGAATATCAATCTTTAAGTATTTCCTTTTATTTTTGACACTTCCAATTTTCCTAGATTCATACTTTGTACATTCCACATTTTGAGTATTAGTGAATGTTTGCAGCTGTTTCTTCTTATTTGGAGTCATACCACATCATCAAATGTAGGTCCTGATGGCTTTTCTCTATCCCCTTCATAATGCCAGCTTTACTTTGAGGAGATAGCTCTTCCCCAGTCATATTCTGTCTGGCTTCCAATATGAGGGGCTCATCTTCTGGCACTATCAGACAAGGTTTTACTGCCATTCTTCAGTTTCCAGTTTTTTCAGAAGTAGCCCACTACATTCTTCTTTCTAGCCTGTCTTAGTCTGGAGCCATGGATGACCTGCTAGTATTACAAATACTTATAGCATCTCAGTAAGAGGCAGGCCACACCAGTATGATACACTGACTCATCTCATAAGGTTGTGGTATTAGCTGATGTGATAAATGTAAAGCATTTAGAAGAAATGTCTGTCACACTAAGCATTCAGTAAATGTGAGTAAAAAATTTATTATGTGTGGGATTATAATTCACCTTGGTACTCTATATTTCACAAAATTAGGTTTAATAGACTTTTTCTGATGCATGTTGCATTTTATTTTTAATTAATGTTTCTTTTAGGACTGAAAGAATTGTCTCCACTTCCTCTAAATCTCAAACGTTTATACAAAGAGACACTAGAAATAGAACCCATCTTGATCATTATTTCCCCGGGTGCTGATCCTTCTCAGGAACTTCAAGAACTCGCTAATGCTGAAAGAAGTGGGGAGTGTTATCACCAGGTCAGTTTTCTGTGCCCTGCTGTTTTTACTACTGATATTGTTCCTCCTGCCACACTTGATCCTATTAGTGAAATGGATGTGTTTGCTGTGGTAAACCAAATAATAGCTTCTGGAAGACATCTGTATCCTAATCCCCAGAACCTGTGACTATGTTATTAATTTGGCGAAAGAGACTTTGCAGATATGATTAAGTTAAGAATATTGAGGTGAGTAGATTTTCCTGGCAATGCAATATTATCATAAGGGTCCTTATAGGAGGAAAGCAGAGGGTCAGAAGGAAGGAGATGTATTAACAGAAACAGAGGTCAGAGAGAAGAGAAGATGCTATGCTGTTTACTCTAAAATGGAGAAAAATGATTATGGACAAAGAAATGTAGGCAGTTTATAGAAGCTAGAAAAAAACATAAGGAATGGATATCTCATAGAGCCTCCGGAAGAAATGCAGCATTGTAGTACTTCCTTTATTTTTATACCCTGATACCTTGACTTTTAGACCAGTGACACTTCTGACTTTGAGAAATTAGTTAAGATAATAAATTTCTGTTGTTTTAAGGCACTAAATTTGAGGTAATTTTTTATAGCAGCAAGAGGAAACTAACACTATTTGCATACATTTTGAGAATAATTTAAAAATTTTCCTTGGATATTTTCACAACAAATCATAGTAATGTTTGCTTGAAAAAACTGACATGAAAGAAATATATTTTCTTGAGTGGAATTTATCTAATTAAATATAATTTTTTCCTGAGGGGAATTTAAGAACTTTTGTTTCTTCAGGTTGACTTCTTTTTTCAGTTTAGTTTGCATGTAAGTTGGCAATTTTAAATTATTAATGTTACCCTCAGTTTTTTGATAGATTTACAAATAAACCTTTATCATTGGGAACATAACTAATAGTAATTAAAAATATTTCATAGCCACCACAAATTAAAACATAAAAATCTCATGAGGAACAGTAGACATGGAAGATAGCAGAAAATCAGGACTGCCTGCCTCAGATATGTAGATCTTACACTGTACAACTCTAGGGAGCACCACTGAGGTCATAGTTGTAATAGCTTAGTATATTCATCATGACAGTTTTCAGTTGTAAATGAGGTGTCTCAGGGAAGGAGAACATTTTCTACAAGTTGTACCAGGTAGCAGTGACTTTGGTAAAAAGATAAAACATACATAGTTTGTGTACTAAACTTTTCATTATTTAACATTCTTGGAGAAGATAATTAATTCATTTTATTAGTTTGGCTTTTCTTCAAAACTTCATATTAAATCCAATTAAGAAAGTTTAGAGATTATTTTAGGTTAAAGCACCAAAACATTACTTTTTCATTGTAAATGCTTATGTTTTCAACTTACACAGTTTTTCTATTTTCCTATTGTGCTTTTTAAGGATTGTTTTTCCTCCAGTAAATCTTTCTTAAGGTTTCATGAAACGTCAAATTGTTTTTACACAGTTTATGCATATTTTGATAATTTTGAGTTCTTGTTTTTGTTTCTACTTTGTTGTTGTTAGGTGCTGTGAAGTTGGCTCTGACACATAGTGACCCTTTGTACAACAGAACAAAACACTGTCCAGGCCTGTGCCAGGCCTACAATCCTTGCTATACCCAAGCCCGTTACTGCAGTCACTTATGGATTCATCTTGTTGAGGGCCTTCCCCCTTTTATGCTGACCCTCCACTTTACCAAGTATGACTTCCTTCCCCAGGAAATGGTCCCTCCTGACAACATGACCAAATCATGTGAGATGAAGTCTGGCCATTCTCACTTCCAAAGAGCATTCTACCTGCACTTCCTCCAGGACACATTTGTTAGTTCTTCTGACAGTCCATGGTACTTTCAATATTCTTTGCCAGCACCACAATGCAAAAGCATCAGCTCTTCTTTGGTCTTCCTTAGTTATTGTCCAGCTTTCACATGCATATGAGGCGATTGCAAACACCATGGCATAGGTTGTTGTTGTTGTTGCTGTTGTTAGGTGCCATCAAATCAGCTCCTATTCATAGCGACCTGATATACAACAGAATGAAACACTGTCTGGTCTTATGCCAGCCTCATAATCCTTGCCATACCTGAGCCCATCATTGCAGCCACTGTGTCAATCTATCTCATTGAGGGCCTTCCTCTTTTTTGTTGACCCTCCACTTTACCAAGCATGATATCCTTTTCCAAGGAATGGTCCCTCTGACAATATGATCAAAGTAGGTGAGACGAAGTCTGACCATTCTCATTTCGAAGGAGCATTCCAGCTGTACTTCTTCCAGGATAGATTTTTTAGTTCTTTTGGCAGTCCATTGTACCTTCAGTATTCTTCACCAATGCCACAACTCAAAAGCATCAACACTTCCTTCTCCAGTCTTCCTTATTCATTGCCCAGTTCTTACATGCATATGAGACAATTGAAAATACCATGGCTTGGGTTAGGTTCACCTTAGTGTTAAAGAGACTTCTTTGCTCTTTAGCACTTTAAAGAGGTCTTCTGCAGATTTGCCCAGTGCAATCTAGTGTCTGATATCTTGACTGCTGCTTCCATTAGTGTTGATTGTGGAATCAAATCATGTGAAATCTTTGATAACTTCAATCTTTTCTCCATTTATCATGATTTTGCTTTTTGGTCCAGTTGTGAGGATTTTCATTCTCTTTATATTGAGATGTAATCCATACTGCAGATTGTAGTCTTAATCTTTTTTCTACTTTAGTGCAACAAAATACATTTCTTCTAATTCCTTTGTGTTTGCATTCATATATTTTTTTTTCATAGTAATAAAATGATACTTGGAATTATATAACATTTCAGAAAATTTTGGGAACAATTTAGCCTCCTATTTGCTTAGTTGCACATTAGACCTTGAAAATTAAAAGCAACAACAATATACTAGTGTATATTACCTCTTCTACTACATGCTTCAGTATGGAGTGATTCAGATGTGGTTCCTATTTTCAAAAACTTGATAGTGTAATTCTGAAAACAAAATCAATATTATAAAAATTAGATAAAAATGATATGCTCTGTTGTACATGTTATAAAAAAAGAAATCACTGTGGTTTTAAGTAATCTACAGACATGCAGACATAAACTGTTTTGATCATTATATGGTAAAAAAAAGTTAGATCCATTATACCCTATATATGTATACTTGTAAATAATATATATAAATAAAAATTAAAATTAAAAAAAAAAACACCCAACAAACTCACTGCCATAAAGTCAATTCTAACTCATAGCAACCTTAGGGTTTCCAAGGTGGTAAATTTTTATGGAAGTAGATTGCCCAGTCTTTCTTCCACAGATTGACTGGTGGGTTTGAACTGCCTACCTTCTGCTTAACATTCAGATGCCTTAGGCACTATGCTACAAGAGCTCCATAATATATATAAATAAACCTATAAAAATATGAGTGTATGTATATGCACACAGACACCACTGTACTGATATAGAAATGTTATATAAATTATTAGTAAAACACTTCTGGAAGAGTTTAGACTTGATTACATTAAGTGATGTGCAGCCATTTCAGATTCTTGACTAATACTGTTATGCAATCCTAGAGTTAAGTTTAAGTTAAGTCTAAGCTTTCAAATACCATGGAAATGTTATGTACTGAATCTGTTAGCTAGGGTTATTTGGCTTCTGCTTTAATATTTTCAATGATTAGAAGTTTTGTATTTCATAAAGTAGCCTTTCTACCATTTAAAGTGAAGATGGACATTAGGAATTGAAAAATTTGAAATATAGTTTCAGTGAGAGATCAAGATTCATATTTTCTCTCTCTTTAGCTCTCTCATCTCAAATCTTGTTTTATTTCCCTTCTATATCGCTCTAAGAAGCAGTTGAGGAGCAGAGAGCTAAGGATAGAATCATAAGGAACACCATCATGTTAGGTTTCCTAGATAAAGAAGAGTCAGGAAATTACACAGAGAAACTATCTGTATCTTGAGAGCCAAATATATGCAATGTGGGAGAAATCAAAAGAAAGGTAGGTTTCAAGGATTTTGTTTTCGGAATTACACTATCAAGTTTTTGAAAATAGGAACCACATCTGAATCACTCCATACTGAAGCATGTAGTAGAAGAGGTAATATACACCAGTATATTGTTGTTGCTTTTAATTTTCAAGGTCTAATGTGCAACTAAGCAAATAGGAGGCTAAATTGTTCCCAAAATTTTCTGAAATGTTATATAATTCCAAGTATCATTTTATCACTATGAAAAAAAATTATGAATGCAAACACAAAAGAATTAGAAGAAATGTAATTTGTTGCACTAAAGTAGAAAAAAGATTAAGACTATAATCTGCAGTACAGATTACATCTCAATATAAAGAGAATGAAAATCCTCACAACTGGACCAAAAGCAAAATCATGATAAATGGAGAAAAGATTGAAGTTATCAAAGATTTCACATGATTTGATTCCACAATCAACACCAATGGAAGCAGCAGTCAAGATATCAGACACTAGATTGCACTGGGCAAATCTGCAGAAGACCTCTTTAAAGTGCTAAAGAGCAAAGAAGTCTCTTTAACACTAAGGTGAACCAACCCAAGCCACGGTATTTTCAATTGCCTCATATGCATGTAACAACTGGGCAATGAAATGGTAGTATTGATATCAAATCGTCTCTGTCAACAAGACTATTGTTATGTGACGTTGAATCGTCTCCAACTCATAGTGACCCCTGCCTTTGGGTTTCCAAGGTAGTATCACTACAAAAGTAGGTTGCCCAATCTTCTGAGGAGTGGCTGATGGGTTTGAACCGCCAACCTTCACTATAGTTATATAAAATATTAGCTCTTTAAGGAGCTCTGGCGGTGTAGTACCTAAGGCATTTGACTGCTAACCAGAAGCCCAGTGGTTCAAACCCACCAGCCACTCCTCAGAAGCAAGATTGGACAGTCTGCTTCTGTAGTGATATTGCCTCAGAAACCCAAAGAGGGGTCGCTATGAGTTGGATCCGACTTGACAGCAGTGAGTAAAAGGTCAGTGTTGATGTTTGAGAGGGCAGGAGTTATGAGAAATAATAGAATAAGGTACAAAGAGTATTCATTAATTCTTTATCTTATATTATTCTATATTTTAAATGAGAATTAAAGCATTAGGCTGTTAGCCAAAAGGTTGGAGGTTCGAATTCGCCAGCTGCTTTGCAGTAGAAAGATGAGGCAGTCTGCTTCCACAAAGATTTACAAACTTGGAAACTCTGTTGGGCAGTTAAACTCTGTCCTGTAGGGTCATTCTGAGTCAGAATTGAATCAATGGCAGTGATAATGAGAAAATATTTTTAACAAATGGAAAACAATATATTTAAAAAGTCTACCACTGATGTAAGGACAAAAACACGATGATTGCTGAGTTCATTGGCAGCAGAGTCCAATATCTCATTAAAATTTTAGAAGTTTGATTACAGTGATTTAGTTCAGTGTGGATGGCAGGATATTTCTGAATTTCTTATAATGTTATCCTGCCATGGTGAAAGCATTGGGCTGCTAACCCAAAAGTCAGCGATTTGAACCCACCAGCTACTCCGCAGGAGAATGATGAAGCAGTCTGCTTCCATGAACGTTTACAGCCTTGGAAACATTATAAGCAGTTCTATTCTGGCCTATAGGGCTGCTATGAATCAGAATCTACTCAATGGAAGTGGGTTTGGTTTCTAGGTATAATGTTATGTGTCAATACATTAAGAAATATACGTATTTTTTTCCCTTCGTTTTGCAGGTTGCCATGGGTCAGGGTCAAGCTGATTTAGCAATTCAAATGCTAAAAGAATGTGCCCGCAATGGAGACTGGCTCTGTTTAAAGAACTTACATCTTGTCGTATCTTGGCTGCCAGTTCTGGAAAAGGTAGATTCAGATTAATATGATATAAATGATATGTATATATCCAATTCCACAATCTCTAAGTAACATCAGTATTAATATGTGTTATGTATTATTTATGATTTTTTAAAAATTTTTGATGAGAAATCATTTTGTCTGGTTAAGTATTTTCTTCTTAAATGTACATTTGTGTAAAACAAGATGAATCTTTTAATAAGGAACCTATAAATCTTTCTTTTAAAAAGGATTTCAGAAAACTATGTAATTATTACTGAAGATTGAGAAGAAAATTTAGAGAATTTTTCTAGAAGAAAGACAAGGGAGATGCTTTAAACGATTATTCAAAACCTATCTATACCATTACTTTCTCTTTATGCTCTTGTTCTGCTATATCTCTATAAGAAGAAAAACATATAGAGGAGTCTGAGGGAACTGCAGGCCTTCTTTGGTGCTAAGGAAGCTAAAATCTAACTGAAGTAATCATTTCATTTAACAAAAATGGCCCCAGGAGGAAAATAACCTTTAGAAAGGAAATTGTTGGATAGGTTTTAAATGCAAACCTGGATTGGGGTTCTTGGTCTTGGGTAGTTAAGAGATGATGCCATTGAGAAAATGTTCCTTGAGGGCTGAATGGAATTTAGCTAAATGTCAGCAAAGAAGGGATTCATGGTTAATTGAAGCATCAAAAGTTGAGACATTGTGATAGAAATGTGCATGCCTAGTACGAGCAGCAAAGAGATGTGCTTGACTGTACTGATAAGGCCATACAAGGTTGTATGTGCATAGAGCTAGGAAGGGATAGTTTAGGGAATATACCAAAAACCATGCAAGAAAAGTTTGGGTTTTTTGTCTTGAGACTTAGCAAGCCAGAAGAGGTTGTTAGGAAGAGAGTTAGTAATTAATTAATGTATTAGTAGGAGTAGTGTATAATATAAAAAGTACAGAATATAGGATAGAACAGAACTGAATAGAGAGGATTGAGCAAATCCCTAGCCATGTTGTGAGGTGTTGAAAATTTGTGTATTCCTAATAAATGGACAATCAATAAATGTTTGATAATGACTTAATGACTGAATGAATGAATTGATGGACAATAGTGATGCATTACTTTTATTCTTATAAAAATGAGAGTTTTGGAACTGAAGGTTTATATGAATATTCATATATTTTGTTAATACAATTTCCTATAAAAATCTTTAATGTGTGAAAATATAAAATCCATGTCAGATGAATCATGTTTCAAAACATATAAGAAGATCTGTGAAGACTTGAATCTTGCTCTCTGATCCAAACAGTTGATTGATAGCTATCGATCCATGTAAAAAAATAAAATTTGGAAGTAAATGTAGTTAGAATTTTTCCAAGATTATAATACAGATTAGATTATGATAATTTTTTTTTGCTTTTCTTTTGTAAAGTTTGAATAAATTATTTTGATAAACCCAGCTATATCACAGATGAGGAGCTCTGGTAGTGTAGTGCCTAAGGCACTTGACTGCTAACCAGAAGGCTGGTGGTTCAAACCCACCAGCCACTCCTCGGAAAGAAGGTTGGGCAATCTACTTCTGTAGTGATAACTGCCTCGGAAACCCAAGGTGGGGTTGTTATGAGTTGGGTCCAACTCGATGGCACATAACAACAACAACATATCACAGATGTATAGTTTCTTTTACTATTTTTATATGTGTTAACTAAAAGCAAAATTATGTATGAACTTTACATTTTAAGATTATTAGTTAAAGGTACATTTTATAAATTGTTATAATTTACAATTTTAAGCAAACACAGAATGTCTTTAGTCATAGTTTTGCCATTTTTGGATCATCTTAATATATTTCATATAACATTAGTGCAGGTTGATTTGAGAGATGGATTATATTAATTAAAAAGAATTTTTAGATTTCACTGTCTTTTAGAGCTATCAAAGTTTCTTTTATTATTCATTCATTCCTTCAGTCCACAGATATAGAGTACAGAAAAAGGCCGGGAACTGTTAGATGCTGGTTACAAAAAAAAATGTTTTCTTGCTCTCAATGAACATAATTTAGAAGAGACATAACACATTAAGGGAACTCTGGTGGCGTAATGCCTAAAGCATTTGACTGCTAACCAGGAGACTGGCAGTTCAAACCCACCAGCTACTCCTCGGAAGAAAGACTGAGTAATCTACTTCCATAGATGTGTTGTTGTTAGGTGCCGTTGAGTCATTTCTGACTCATAGTGACCCCATGCACAGCAGAATGAAACACTGCCTCATCCTGCACCAGCTCCATGATCCCTGCTATACTTGAGCCCAGCGTCACAGCCACCATGTCAATCCATCTTGTTGAAGGCCTTCACCTCTTTCATCAACCCTCCAGACCTTACCAAGCATGATATCCTCCAGGGAATGGTCCCTTCTGACAACATGACCAAAGTAGGTGAGACGAAGTCTGGCCATTCTCGCTTCTAAGGAACATTTTGGCTGCACTTCCTCCAGGACACATCTATTGGTTCTTTTTTTTTTTCTTTTTCTTTTTTTATTGTGATGTGGGTGAAGATTTACAGAGCAAATTCACTTTCCATATAGCAGTTCACATATACTTTGTCTCATGACATTGACCACAGTTTACCATAATGCAACAGCTCCCCTCCCACTTCCTCCCCATAGTTACCTCTTCCCAGTGTCCATCCCTCCATGGACTCCTGCCCCCTGAGCCGTCTCCCTGTGCAT